TCCTCCCCTCCTCCCCTCCGCGTGCGCCAAGGTCCCTGACGGCCGCCAGTTTTTGTGATGGTGCTGGTGATGCTGTTTTCTCCTGGTCAAGACCCTATTGTGCCAGCGTTTGGAGGGTGGGAGGGAGTTGTGATAAGCTCCAGCTTAGAGTACGGAGTTGTCAAGGAGAGAGTGACCAAACTTGTAGAAAAGTTTTTATAAGAGTTTGAGTCCAATTTTGTGGACATACCTAGAAGCAAAATCTCAATGGATTTGAGAAAAAGCCCTGCAAAATGGCAATTCTGCAGTTTATTTTATACATTAGAATCAAAGGAGATGTAAGGAGGGTGCATGAAATCCACTGGTGGTAGATGAAGTCCGCGGGAGAAAGCAACGCGGGAAACCTCTGGGGTTAAATAAAAAGTAAGATGGAGAGACATACGTCGTTCACATTGCTGGGTATAGGATAGTAGCCCGGCTGGCGTGGCTCAGTGGTTGAGCATTGACCTATGAACCAGGAGGTCGCGGTTAGGTGGGAAGCTCTAGGATTGGATAAAAAGTGGAAGGGAGAGATAGACTCCAGTTAGGAATTTAAGATCTGATCATCCAGGGTGGTTACTTTTGGTCGAGTTGGTCAGGCCTGCCATGCTGAGATTTCCACATCTGGGGTAGATGCCTTGAGCGGGTGCCGGTGTTCTTCAAGACCTGTCAAAACCACCCACTGCGGCTCCTAGAGAAGTAGCCAGTGAACTCTCAGTGTGCTCCAGGGAGCAGGCAGTCACTGAAAGACTCGAAAGGCTCTGCTAATATACAGTCAGTACAGACCTCAGAGGTCTTTCGGCCTCTTGGGAAGTTCCTTACAGCCACTTGACTGCAGAAGGAAATCCTTGAGTCTGGTGTACAAATAGATCTGCATGATATTCTGGTGTCACCTAATATCACTAGTTTGACATAGGGGTGACTCTGAAGGACAGCGGTGAAGGAAAGTCTTACCATTGGTTGGAACCCTAAGTGGTATTTTGGTTGTTCACTTTGTCTGGAGTGAGAGGTGGCCAAAAATAAATTACATTACTCATGGCCAGTACCTAACAGGCTATATCTAACAGACTTGGAAGATTAATAACAAAGAAGTCTGGAGAAGAGATATGTGGATGGATGTCTCAAAGGGGCACAGGAGGGCCTGGCTGGTGTGGCCCAGTGGTTGAGCATGGACCCATGAACCAGGAAGTGATTCCCTGTCAGGGCATATGCCTGGGTTACAGGCTTGATCTCCAGTAGGGGGCATATAGGAAGCAGCCGATCAAATGATTCTCTCTCATCATTGACATTTTTCTTTCTTCTCCCTTCCGCTCTCTAAAATCAACAAAAACATATATGCATATTTTTTAAAAAGGACGCAGGATGTAGAAGCTACTTTTGTCCCCTGGGGATGTTTGCCAATAGGTATCTACTGCAGAGGAGGCTCTTAATAACCAGGTGGACAAAATGATGTGCTCTTTGGATATCCCCGCCCACACCAGGGTTTCTTCAATGGGTCCATGAACAAAATAGCTGTGGCGGCAGAGATGACGGCTATACATGGACTCAACAGCATGGCCTCACTTTTATCAATGATACAGCTTAATTTCTAATCTACCAACAGCAGAGACCAACATTTAGTTCCTGCTTCACCAGTCTCTAGGGAAGCAACTAAATGGGAGGTTATTATGGAAGGGGCAGAGATTCATCCTTACTAGAATAAATAAATATTCTGCATATATATTTGCCTTCTCTATTCCTAATATTTCTTTAAAAAAAATATTGTGTTTATTTTTTTAACAGAGAAGAAGGGAGAGGGATAGAGAGTTAGAAACATCGATTCAGCTACCAAAGTAACCAAGGTACATGCCCTTGACCGGAATCGAACCTGGGACTCATCAGTCCACAGGCCGACGCTCTATCCACTGAGCCAAACCGGTCAGGGCTATTCCTAATATTTCTGACAAAAACATTCATAGACTCACAAAATCACTGATCTACCCCTATGGCATTTTAACATAGCACTGCTTCTGATCAATGTACTCATTTCACTGCAAAGGAAATAAAGCAATGAGATCACCCTTATTGAATTAACTGATCTTATCACATCACACATCACCCAGAAGAGGCTGGCTTAGTTAAATGGAGAAATAACTTCCTGCAAGCTCAGTTACAGTGCTAAATGGGAGATAACACCCTAAAAGAATAGAGTTCTGTCTTAAAGCACATGGCATATTCTTTGAATTAGAGACCATTATATGGTGCTGTCTCCCCCATGTCCAGGAGATATAATTTGGGAATCAAACGGTAAAAGTGGTAGTGGATTCTCTCACTATTATACCTAACTAGAGGCCAGTTACAGGAAGATTCCTGCAAGAATAGGGCTTACTGCGGCCAGAGCGAAGCAGAGAAGGGAGCGAAGCCTGCCCTTCTCTGTTGCCTCACTCCCTCCCATGTCTGCTGCCTTGGCTCTGCTCCCGTGTCCGCTGCCTCCGGACACTCCATCGGCAGTGGAGCAGTGAGGCTGGATTGGCCGCCAGAGTGGGCGGATTGTGCCTCGCTACTTGCCCCCGCGGCCCCAGGCTGGATGACAGGCCCAGACACTCCAGCAGCCTCACCACTCAGTCCCTCCCCCTGCCTCCCCCGCCACCTGCCTGGCCAACAGGCCTGGACACTTCAGCGGCGGGCTGAGGGGACTGGGCGCCACCATCTTGGTGATGCAGTGACAGCTAATTTGCATATTACTATTTTATTAGATAGGACTAGAGGCCCGGTGCACAAAAATTTGTGCACTCGGGGGGGAAGGGGGGGTCCCTCAGCCCGGCCTGTGCCCTCTCGCAGTCTGGGACCCCTCGGGAGATAACGACCTGCTGGCTTAGGCCTGCTCCTGGGTGGCAGAGGGCAGGCCCAATCCCTAGGTGCAGCCCCTGGTCAGGCTCAGAGCAGGGCCGATTGGGGAGTTGGGGCGCCGCCCCCTGTCATGCACAAAGCAGGGCGTATCGGGAGGTTGCGATGCCACCCCTAGTCACGCTCAGGGTAGGGCCGATTGGGG